GGGGGGGGGGGTGCGGTTCGGGGGCCGGGGTTGGAATGATTTTTTGTGAGAATGGGATGGTTAGTGAGTGTCGTGGCCCAGATCAGGGTGGAAGGTGCAGGCGTGGTGCAAAGTAGAAAAAGGGAGGCTGGCGGCATTTGGAGCGTGGCGCAGGTTTGGCGCGGGGCGCGCCGGCCCTGGTGACGAGCGACCCTTGGTAGGGCCTTGGCGTTCTTTGGCCCCTTGCACACACGGCCACAGGGACTCTGAAGGGACCGCTCTGCGGCTGAGCCAAGCTGCTGTGAACGCGGCAGACGCGTGTGCGGTCCCTTCGGAGAAGCCGTCTGAATGTAGAGCGGGCCGTCCAGCGAAGCCCGCGCCTGAAACAAATATCGCAACCGCGGCGCCTGCTGCCGCTGGGCTGGGGCAATACTCTTGCGCCACGCAGCGCCGACGGTGCCGGCCCCTTGAGACCACACAGGCCCCCATTTTCTTGTCAACCGTGGCGCTGGCCTCTCGCAGCTGGCGGCAAAACGCAACCCCATAGCCGTGCCGCCACGCAGGCATCGGAAACGCAGGCACACACACGCAACAATGGGCACAGCCTCCCCGCACCCTCAAATCAGGCACCGGCTAGTTGAACAAATCCGACAAATCCCTGCTTTGACGCGGATCAATGCCGGCTGTTCCTGGTGTTTGCGGTGACACCCGGATTCATCCCGCGTCAAGGGGGCACCTAACAGACGTCGCGCCCCGCGGACGCCGCGACGTGGGTCACAATGCCATCACCACGCGGCCGGCCCCCGCGGAGGCGGCAGCAGGAGCGGACGCTCCGTCCCGATGGCCAAAGGTGCGCGCGCACACACTCAAGCCCACGCACGGGGTGCGACGACAACCACCCAGCACCCCATCCCACCCTTGTGTCCATTGGGCTGCCATCAAGCTCAGGAGCAGCCACAACTACACCAGCACAACCCCAGCAATCGCTAAACCGCGGTTTGCACGGCTGCGCAGTGAAAATCCACGACTTGCGTCGGTGCTCGCGCACACTCGAGCACGTCATGTTGAGTGTCACCATCACTTGCGCCGCCTGGATGCCCCGGTCCCACCTGAGTGCCTCATCCACCCCGCGCGCCGCCTGCTCCGTGTTGCCTTGAAAAAGGTCATAGGCCGCCAGCTCCAGACCTATGGGGTGGGGGGTTGGGGTTGGGGGTGGGGGAAGCGTCGGGTGAGGAGACTGGGGGATGAGGGGTGGCACGGCAACAGCATCTTTGGTGCGTTTGTTGAGGAGACGAGGGTGTGTAGGGGAGTTGAGGGTGTGGGGCGGGGGTCTGGAGCGTTGGCGCGAGGGGTGCAAGGTGGCGAGGGCGCGGGGAAGGTGACGGCGCGCCGTGTGGCGCGGAGGGGTGTCGGACTGTTGGGATCAGGCTGGTCGCGCGCAGTGGGTTGGCGGGCAGCCCATGGCGTGGCTCAAGAGCCGCCCATTTGCAAGATTCTTCCTCTGCATCCCCGGCATCAACTGCTAGAAATGAACGACCCACCAGCCGCGTCGCGCAGCGCAGCGGCCCAGCGCCTGCCGCCGCCCTCCGCCGCGGCCAGCAGCTGCCCCAGCCGCGGCCGCGCCATCGGGCTGAAAAGCAGCGCACGCGTATAGCGCCGCAGGCGCGCGGCGCCACCGTCCGCTTCGCGCCCGCCGCCGCCGATGCCGATTACGTCCGGATCTGCAGGCGGGGCGCGGGCGGGGCGCGGGTGGGGGCCGTAGTGTTTGGTACGCAGGACGTGGTGAAGCGAGGGTCAAATCACAATGCCCGGGCATAATATTCTGGAAATTCAATCAACAAGTGCACGCCCAGGCGTTCTCCTCCCACAAGCCATCTGCCCGCGGAGGCTTTGCAAAGACCCCCCAACTTCGACTCCACAAGGCCACCTCTACTCCACAGGGTGTGCGAGAGACTGGGGCCGGTCGTTGGTGTGCACCGTTGCTTACCCTGGTCAGAGGAGAGGGATGATGTCATTCTGATGTCAGCACCAGCAGCCTCCTCCAGCAGGGGCCCAAAGTCCAGCTGCGCGGCGGCTGCCGGCCCCTCCTGCCCGTCGGGCTGCAGCTCCACCTCGACCTGCGAATAGATAAGGGACATTCAAAAAATTGCGATGATACGATGAGCGTCTTATCATTAATTATTAAAACAAAGGTCTCTGAGGGGGTGTGGGAACCGCAGGGGTCTGAGGGCCGAAGGTGGCAGCCTGCCCGGGCAGCAACTGCCTTGGAAACTGCGCGGCTTCCCAAAGCCAAAGGGCTTCAGTCCTTTCCCTCTCGCGCGGGCGCGGCTGCAGGTGCAGCAGCTTGCATTGCAGCCACCGCCCGACAGCAGCGGCGCAACATTGGCCGTGAGCAGCGATCTGCAACCACTTCAGCACAGCTTCGCTGGGTTTGTGCATAGCTGCTTGCAGCTTGCCCTCAAATCCAGCTATGCAATGGCGAGATGTTTGCATAGGATCATCGCTGTTTGGCTCCAAAAGCGCCTCTTGGCGCGGGGATGCAATCAGCGCTGTTGATTGGCATGCGCGGCAATGTGCACGTGCAGACCCAATGCCCGCCTGCGACCGTGCCCCCGCTGACCGCCCGGGCCCTGCTGTGTGGCGCTAGCGGGCAACCACGAAGCGGGGCCTCGGGCTTTCAGTGCCAGGCAGCTTCCAAACGGCCAGAGGAGCGCCACCGCCAAAAGGAGTGGGTGGCGAAAGGTGGGGTTTGGGAGGGGGTTGGGGTGCGCCACGACGAACGCGCCCCGCCCCTGCTGTCCGCAACCTCAGCTGTGAAATGCAATCAGCGCAGCGGCGGGCAACGCGACGCGCCCGGGCTTGCGGGGGCTCGGTGGTGGGGGCAGAAGCTCAGACCAGAACAGCGTACGAGCTCCCACACTCCCCCCGCTCGCCGCACGCGTTACAAGACGGGGCCGCCCCGCCCCGCGGCCGGTGGCCGGCGCGCAGCACGCGCGCCAGCGGCCGATTTCCCGGGCGATGCGCCTGCAATCCGCCAAAATGCAGTCGAAAAACGTCCCGATTTCCCATTTAACATCCCGCTCGAGAATTCATGTCTCCTGAGATCCCAAACAACTGCTGGGCCACTGCCAGCCAAGCAGCCACCCAATGCAAGACGGCCCCCACCAGTGATGGGCTGCAGATTGCAGGCAGGCCCCCACTCACAGGCCGCCCTCGTGCGTCGCTGAGGCCCGGACCTGGGTGGCAGCAGATGCCTGGGGCTTGACGCAGTGGATCCACCGGCCGTGGTCAGAACCGTTGATCTACCGCCCCAGACCCGGGTCGCAGTCCCCTACCGGGGGCCCGCCCAACCTCCAAGAACCCCCAAACCTCAAATCTCACACCCATGCCCCCTTCCCCCCTCCCAAACCCCTCCCCAAAATACAGCCATGCACGGCGGCCTGGTGTGCGTGCAGCGCGGCGCCCACAATGCGCCAAATGTATTACGAATCCCCTTAAAACGACCCGCTCGGGGGTTTGATCTGGCCTGGGTCCCACACAACCGCCGGGTCACAGCCAGGCGAAGCATCCACCCGAGACACATGAAAGCCAGCACCCAACTGCAGCGGCGCCACAATCTGCGTCAACAGCAACAGCAGCCACGTGAGCACCGCTTTGCTGGGGTTTTGCAGTGGTGCTTCAATGTTGCCTCCAGCTAAGGGCAGGCCAAAATGTTTCTGTAAGACCCTCAATGTTTGGCTCCAAAAGCACCGTTTGGCAACCACCGCTGATCAAGTGCGCGGTGGATCCATCCCAGTGCCTCGAAATCGACGCGATATAAACACCTCCCCAGACGCGCGTCGCCACCCCCGCACCCACGGGCCCGCCCGCCCTTGCGCCCCCCTTCCCACCACGCCCCCTGCCCCCTCCCAAACCACTCCCCAACATGCAGCCACGCAAGGTGGCCCGTTTTGCGTGCACGCGACCACAACGCGCCAAAGGATTCCCGAATCCCCCTCAAAACGGCCCCCTCAGGGATCGATAATCCCTGGGCCACAACACAACCGCTGGGCCGCCGCCAGGCAAAGCAGCAGCCAGAGGCAGCAAAGGACGGCGCCCCACGAGTGATAGCCTCCGTGTCAATACTGGCATCACTCACAGGTCACCAACGCCCGCTGCTGAGGCCGTTTTGTGTGCGACACGCGCACGATATGTCAAGAGCCTCTTGGCCCCACCCCTTTTGAAATGTCCCGCTCAAAGGGTTCAGCCTTGCCTGGGCCCCACACGACCAACAGGCCGCTGCCAACAAAAGCAGCCACCCTCAGAAACGCAGGGCGGCGCCCGCAAGTGACAGGCTGCTCTGTCTGGCAGCTCCACTCACAGGTCGCCCCTGCGCGCCGCTGAGGCCGGAGCTTTGCTGGCAACAGCTGCCCCGGGGCTGACAAAGTGGATCCACATGTACTGGGCAACCGCATGGATCCACTGCCCAAGCCCGTAGTCGTCCCCGCCCCCCACACGCCGCCCTCCCTCCCCCCCTCAAACCTCAAACTTCCGGTCTGCTCCCCCCCTCCCAACCCCTCGTCAAAGTGCAGCCGCAGCGCGCTGCGCCCTGCTGCCGGGCGGGGGTGACTGAGGAGTCTGTTCATGCTTCCTCTCTGCCTCTGCGTCAGCCCTGGCCGGCTGCAGGGGGGTGCGGCGTCCATGGCGGCGGCAGGGGACGCGGCAAGAGTGCATGCGTCGAGGATGGGGCCATCCCCAACCTCGGGCGGACAGGGTAGGGGGATGCTGCGGCTGATGTGTGTGCGTCAAATAAACGCTGTCGCGGCCCAATGCTCGGCAAAGAAGCCCCATTCAACACAGCATGTTGGTGAAGGCAAGCCGACTGCTGCTGCGCACAAGCCGCGCTGGTGCCCAAGGGTATTTTTGTTGCAATCGAATTCGAGCATACTTAAACACAGATGTCAGCATCTGCACGCTACCTCCTATTGATAAAGTATAAAATCTGGATGTGGACGAGTCCAGCCCTCACAGCCCATCTGGGCTTGATTAGTGGAAATCTATTGGTCGAACATCACACGCACACTCACGCCCGCCCGCCCGCCTGAGCCCCAGCCCGCAACACACCTGAAATCGCCCCCAAACCCACCCACCTCCTGAGCCACTATGTCCCAGTGCGCGAGCACCTCCAGGCACTCCTGGCGGCAGACCAGCCACACGCCCTCCTCACAGGGCAGTACACGCGCCGACACGCCTCCAGCGCCACCACCGCCGGCGCCGCTGGAGCTGGCGGCAGTTGTGGCGACACTGCCGAGCAGCTGCTGGGGTGTAGGGGGCCAGTCGACCGAGCCAGAGTCGGAGGCGGCAGCGGCTGCGGCTGCGGCTGGACGGGGTGGGAGGGAGGCGGTGGGAACGGAGTTGTGGAGGTGGGCGCAGTTGAGGTGAAATCACAGGAGCATAGAAGACTCTGAGGGCCTAAATTGCTGCTGTTTTGCGCTTGGCATGTGCGATCAAGCTGCGAGTGGCGATGGATGGATGCATCACACTGTTTTCTGAATGATGGCTGCGGCGGTTGCACTTCCCTACTGCCCCTATGTCTCAATCCTGACAGGCACCCATGAACCCATAGTGGGTGTTGAACCACACCCTTGAACGGGCCACTCACCACCGCCGCCGCCGCCGTCGCCCTCCTCCCCGAGGCCGTCCGCCGCGTCCAGCAGTCCCTCCAGCAGCGTGAGGGCGTCCTGGTGGCGCCCAGACCGCGCGCACGCCAGGGCCGCCAGGGAGCCTTGGCGACGGCGATACAGAGGTTGAGGAATTGGGGTTTAGTGAAGGTTGGGATTGGGATGGGGATGACCTGCACGACCGCGGGGCAAGATGATTGATTGTGAGATGTGCAGCCTCCGCAACATCAAGCAAAGGCGAGGTCTGCCGATCTAGGACCCTCTGTCACAAGGCAGCCGCCGCATGCGGCCGCACAATCCCATCGCGGCACGAGCGTCGGGGGTCGGGCGACAGGTCACCAAAAGCTACCTGACCACAAAAGTATTTTGCTCTCGAACTGCTCCTCTTTGTTCTTGATAAACCCGAGCTCACCCGGGCAGCGCAGCAGATGGCGCGCCATGAGGCCCTCTGCGATGTCCTGCTCCCCCAGGGACACGTACAGCTCCGACAGCTGAGACCAAGCCTCGGACTCCGCGACAGCACCAACCTTGCCGCCGTCCGAGGTTGTCGCTGCGCCGCCGCCGGCTGCAGCTGGCCCGCCAGGCAGCGGCGGCGGCCGGAAGCGGAGGGAGGGCCACAGCGCGGCGGCAGTCGCGGCCGCGGCCGCGGCGGAGCGGCTGTGGCGCGCAGCCGGGTGGGGTTCGTGGGGTCCGAGGCTGGCGGGGGCTGGGACCGGGTCGGCGTCCGAGGTTTGGATGAGCATCTGCTGCTCAATCTGGACGACGGCAGCCTGGCGTGGGTGGGGCGGGAAGGGGGGACATTGCATAGATACGGGGTGACGCGGCCTAGGCTGGCGGCCAGTTGCTTTTGCCTAGCAGGAGGAGTTGCCGACCGCCCGGCCAAACTGCTGCTTAGACCGGGATCATTCAAGTGAAACGACAGCACCAGGCAGAAGCCCAAGGCGATCAGGGGGACGTGTCTGCGGCAAGCCGCCGCCGCTGCCAGGCGGTGGCCATGACCAGGGCGCAAGTGCCGGGCTTGTCAGGGTGCGGGCACCCCCTGTTCCAAATCAAACATGGCGCATACTATGCGCCACGATCGAAACAGTGTTTCAATCCTGTCGATCACTTTCAGGCCAGCTGGGCAAGCTGCGGTGGCAGCTGCTGGCTCATGATGTTGCTGGCGCTGTTGCCACATCAGACATCTGCATTAAAACGGCCGGCTTGCAGGCCGGCTCAACCAAGGGGTTGCGCCCACATCCCCATCTAGTGACCCCTTAGAATCCACATGTGCACACACCCCCTCAAATCCAATCGCGCGCCCTCAAAAAATGTTCAGCTGGCCCTGCTCAGGAGGTGTTACGCGTGTCGATGATGGAATGATGGACATTGACACGCACCCGGGCGCTCAAGGGAGGGGGGCACGTTCATGGCAGCAGCTCAGTTGTGCAAGGGAGGGAGGG